GTCCTCTTTTTTATTTTGATGTGAAAGTTTATCATTTTTCTTTGAGGTTACCCTGTGATCTATAGTTTTCTTCCCAAGTTTAGGACAGTCTGTTCTATCTTGTCATTGTCTTGACTTCCCTACCATCTAGAAGTTCTGTAATGACACAGATTTTTTTCCCTCTTTTTGGTTTGTAGTTGTCCTCATTTGTTAGTTGGTGTCTCTGGTTCCCTGTTTACAATCTTGTAGGCTGATTTACTTTGGATATTTCCATAGCAGGGTTGGTTTCTGGGATATGTCATCCTGTGTGTTGGTGGTCAATTATTATTTGCTGTTTTTGCTTCTTTGTCCAAAAGACTCCCTTTAGCAGCTCTTGTAAGGTTGATCTGGTTTTAACAAATTCCCTTAATTTCTGCTTATCTGGAAATGACCTCCTTTCACCATCATATTTGAGGGACAATTTTGTTGAGTATATAATTCTTGGTTGGAAATTTTTCTCTTTCAGTGTTTTATACATACCATCCCATTGTCTTCTCGCTTGCATGGTTTCTGTCAAGATATCCAAGCTTAGTCTTATTGGTTGTCCCTTGTAGGTAATTTTTGTTTTTCCCATGCTGCTCTCATGATTCTTTCTTTGCCTTTGGTTTTGGTGAGTTTGATGATGATATGTCTGGGTGATTTTCTTTGGGGGTCTATCCTGTTTGGGGTTCTTTGGACTTCCTGAATGGATATATTCTCATCTTCCGTCATTCATACCAAAAAAATTCTCTTCCAACAAATCTTTAACAATATTCTCTCTGCTTTTACTTGTCTCTTCCGTTCTGGAATTCTGACTACATGCAGGTTATTCCTTTTGATGTTATCCCACATAAACCTTAGGCTTTCTTCATTTTGTTTTGATCTTTTTTCTGATTTATCCCTTTGCAAAGAAATGTTCAAGTATTTGCCTTCAGTCTCCCTAATTCTGTCTTCCATTGATTCAGTTCTGCTCCTTTTCCCATTCAATTTCTTATCTCTGAAAATTTAGTATTAATCTTATGGATTTCTGTGTGTAGATTTTGTATCATTTGTAATTTTTCATTTATTTTGTCATTTTGTTCTTGTATTGTCTTTCGAAACTGTTCTAGAGTTTTCTCTGTGTTTTCCTTGATCTGTCTCTCAATTCGTTGAAGATACCTAAATATAATTCTTTTGAATTCCTTATCAGAGAGTTCCAATGCTGCTTCTTCCTGTGGGATGTGTTTTGGGTCTGTATCCTG